TTTTTATTTTGAATCTTTAGCTTCCCGTTTTCTGGTTAACTTAGCTAGGGTATGCATGCTCATTGGTCCCTTTTATTTCTGTCCCTATTTTTCTTTTGTTTAATTCCCCAATCCCCTCCCTCGTTAGGTGGTCAGTGATGTCAGTTCTCTGGTGGATGCGGGGTGCCTTTCGTTTCGTGTGTGTGATTTTTCGTATTTGTTGTTGTGTATGCATGTGTGTGTGCCTGTGTGAATGCTGTGGAGGTATGAATGTTTTTCTTATTTTTCATAGTCCCGCATTGATTTCGTCCGGTTAACTGATATTTTTGCCACATTTAAGGTTTGTGGGTTTTTTATTACCAACTCCCTTTTTGTTTAGTTTCTTGTAAATATTTTAGGTCATATTGTACATATTCATTGGGGATCTTTTTAAAAATTGTTGTTTTATGCCCCTCCCCCCACGAACAATATTTGTACATGAGGGGACTATTTAGGACTTTCATTGAGACGAAGAGGTATTTTGGTGGACGTAGTATGAAAGGTATGGATACTTGTGTTGTTTTGGTGATAGGAATATTGTTAGTATGTTTGGGTCCGTTTCTGTGACTAGCAGAATTTAGAATTAAGACAGAAGAAGACCGTCCTTCCCCAACCCCCTGTTAGGCCTTGTGCCACATTTTGTACATACGTGCAAATAAATATTAGATTGTAAGATGAGGAGAGATAATTGAGAGCATATTGTAAGGACGTTGGAATAGTGATACTTGTCAGGACAACATAGTTCACTCTAACCCAATCTGATACTCATTACTAATACTTCTACTTCTTTGCATTATATTTCTTTTGTAATATATTTTGGACCATCACCGTGGTACAAGGAACTTGGAACATAACAAAAAGTAAAAGTGAAGCTATAAATGTATCGTTAGTAACGCTATACTCGTTGTGTCGACGACTACAGCCATAAGCAAATGAACGAGAAACAGCTAAACATCTTAAAAATGTAAGTAATCGAAAAAAATGCATATTATCTATGTTTGTATTTTATAATACGATAATAATATATGAATATTATATGCATTATTATTGGATACACTTAAGTAAAATATCAGTTTTATGAAAATCATGTTTATTTTAAATACAGCTGTACTTTTTTGACTACAGCAAATGGATATATAGTTGGGTCAAGGCCGTAGCCAGGGCCAGCAGTGCATAGGCTTATTGTATATTTCATGTATAATGCGACCCTCTTAAAATTAGCATTAAAATAAGGTCTTCAAATGTCATATGATACGCGAGTATATAAGGTATCTGTATATGAAATCGTTGACTCTGTCATAATGCTATCGATTTGAATTGATATGACTAGCAAAGTAGTATCAGTTAACTTAATCGGGCATTTTTATTGAACCAAAAACCGGTGTATGGAGAACGAACTTAATTTAAAAAAGCATATTATCATAAAATCATCAGTGTCTTTAGTTTGTGGCGAGAAGCTACATTTCTTATGACAACGCGAATCGACATTGCGAAACTGAGAGAGAGATTTACAAAGAGAAAACGCCTAAACATGAAAAAAAAGCAGATCGAACCATCTTTTCAGAATTTATAGGTTTAACAGATATCATTATTTTCATTTGGACTAATATCTGCATCGTTACTTGCATTATTTACATTAATCGGACTATTATCCTCATCTTCATTGCCATATTCACAACGTTTCGGCCGGACTATTATCCTTATCTTCATTGCCATATTCATAACGTTTCGGTCGTACTATTATCCTCATCGTCATTGTCATATTCACAATGTTTCGGTCGGACTATTATCCTCATCTTCGTTGCCATATTCACAACGTTTCGGCCGGACTATTATCCTCATCGTCATTGTCATATTCACAATGTTTCGGTCGTTGTACGCTCCGAACAGAACCCTTTATTTCGACCGCAGGTGTAGATTGTTCTAGTTCCAACATTTGGTTCACCGCTGCTGTGGCCTAGTATTGAACTCACAACTCTTTGGGTCTAATCACTGGACAACAACAAAACAACAAAAATTACAATATTAGCTCTGGTAATAATAATAATAATAATAATAATAATAATAATAATAATAACAGAAAAACTGCACTGTGACTACTGTTAAAAAATTAAAACTGAGACATTAGGCTTAGAGGTCCCAACAATTCATACACAGATGTCCTGAAAGAGACAAAGAGTTCGGTTCGAAATTCCAATCACCTGAAGAAAGCCGCAGCGCACAACGGCTGAAACCGTGCGAATATGGCAATGAGTATAACAGTCCGCGTAATGTAAATAATGCAAGTAAACATAAAACCTGATCTCAGAAAGATAGACATATATCATCATAATGTTGTACTCTCCGGCCTTATTACAGTGTCTGTGGATCCGAGTAAACACCAAGGATTGAACACTTTATTTAATCAACGGAAATGACTGTTCTCGTTTTGTCGTCTATGTATCTTTACTGCTGCTCAGTTATTACTTGTGCTGTTTCTACAATCTAAGTGTGTATTACCAGTCTCAGTACCGAAGACACAGTTATTATGACACTCAATTTACGAATCAATATTTTAATTCTTAAGGCTATTCTTCAGTGGAAAAATCGTTACTACAGTATGTCCAATAGAAATTAGAAATGACGTATAAGAAAACAGAATGTATTGTTGTCAGCAAAAGGTATTTATAAATGAAGACTACAGACTCAAATATCTACAAAAATTTAAATATCTAGGAAGTGTTTAAACAGAACAGAAAGTGAACAGAAAGTGGGACATGGAAATCCGAAGGCGCTTCCAAATGTGAAAAATGTTTTCCAAAATCTAAGCGAGGTATAAAGAAACAAAAAAAATGGTTAGAATCAGATAAAACAGTTCTGAAGTACTATGTAATATCCGCCCTTCTATGTGAAAATGAATGCTGGACAATATCCCTACAGATGAAGAAGAGACTTGAGGCAAAAGAAATGCTGTTTTATAGAAGGATGCTGAGAATACCATGAACTTAACATGTGAATAACGAGAAATATTTAAGCAAAATGGAGGCAAAAATGATGCTCATATTTACAAACAAAAACAGTTGAAATAATACAAGCGCATCATGAAAAAAAAGAAGGCTTGGAGAATTTGACACTCACATGCATTATTGAAGGCAAGGCAAACAGATAAAAAACAGCGAATGGCCTACTTAATGAGTTTTTGTAAATTGTTTACAGAAAAGGTATTCAGTTTATTGAGTGTCATAATAACTGTGTCTTCGGTACTGAGACTGGTAATACACACTTAGATTGTAGAAACAGCACAAGTAATATCTGAGCAGCAGTAAAGATACATAGACGACAAAACGAGAACAGTCATTTCCGTTGATTAAATAAAGTGTTAATCCTTGGTGTTTACTCGGATCCACAGACACTGTAATAAGGCCGGAGAGTACAACATTATGATGATATATGTCTATCTTTCTGAGATCAGGTTTTATGTTTACTTGCATTATTTACATTACGCGGACTGGTTTGTTTTTACGGCTTACCAACTTTTTGCAGGTTATTTAAAGCCAGAAATATTTTTACATTGTAAGAATTTTATGGAGATAATAAGGATTTGCTAATACAAGTCCTACTAATTAATACATCGCTGGGGTGGGGAGAAGAGATTTTTCCGTCTAAGTGAATCTAATAAACCTGAATGGAATTAGAACTTGACTCTCCAGCTTCCAATTCCGAAACGTTATCTATTTCACCATCCGCACATCCACACTTACAACACCTGGTATTTCCAAGCTGTCACACTTCTAGGTACTGACCAGAAATTAAGTTAAGCCATCTGGGATTAGGAGTGAACACAAAAAGACAAAACGTATTAAGCGCTTCAAAGCACAGGAAGTTGTGGACAGCCATGATCATCAAGCCCTAGAGGGACAAAGCACATAGAAGAAGAATGTGAATATCTCAGACAAGTGTCTTCTCTATAAATATTTTCATGCGAATTATGCTAAGGAGCTTTCCCCTGTAAATATTCATTGAGGTTTCATTTTTAAAAGTTACTATTTTTATTCAACCTACCAGAGAAATTGTACATATGGGAACTAGTAAGGACTAGATAGAGACCTGAGGTATTACGGTGACTGTAGTAAGAATAGTACGTAAGAATGTATTGTTTCGGTGTAAGGAATACTGTGGTATGTTTGGGTCAGTAATCGTGGCTTTCTAAGTTAAAGATAAGACAGGCTGAAGCCCAGCCTTCCCTGATCTCACCCCACTTTTGACTATGTGCCACATTTTCACATTCTTCAAAATAAATATTGCTGTCCTCTTTTTTATCTAGATTTTATGAATTTAAGCGCAATACTAGATTGATAGCAAGACCTCATCGTTTTAAAATCGAAATGGCTAGATGTAACTGTAAGTTCTATGCTAACAGTTTCTTTTCTCGTACTTCTCGCTTGTGGAACTCTCTTCCGGCTTCTTGCTTTCTAGTCAACTCTAATCTTCAAAAATTTAATTGCAATGTCAATCGTGATCATTTTTCTTCTTAATTGCTATTCTCTCTTTTTTTTTCTCATATTCTATAACGTTCAGGTGCCCCTTGCGTCTTAGTGGCTTTATTGCCTTGTTTGGGGGTGATGTTATTTAAAAGAATCAACAAAAACGAAAGAAAAAAGCGTCCAATAATGTGAAAGTGAGAAAAAGTGTTAGAGAAATCCACAGGAAATAATCCACTGCTGGTTATCTAACGAATATCAGAAATGCATGAAATTGGGCAACTAAAGCTGAATTAAATTATTTATTATTTTATGAATACACCTACGAAGTTTGACCAGGATTCGTCCTTCCATGTAGAAAGATGATTCATGCGTAAAAAAGCAATTTCAGCCCAAATCAGGGGCTTTATAGATAGATGCTCTACCTGTCTTCGAGGCAAAAAATTTCCATATAAATCTCATTCGATGAAATTGTATATCGAAAATAAAACAAATTTTGAAAGCCAAAATTTTATCTGGAAGAATCCAAATATATATAAACATTTTATCTATCTATCTATCTATCTATCTATCTATCTATGTATTGCAGTCTGATCCTTATCTATCTATCTGTACCAGTCTGACCATTATCTATCTATCTATCTATCTATCTATCTATCTATCTATCTATCTATCTATTGCAGTCTGATCATTATCTATCTATCTATCTATCTATCTATCTATCTAGTCTGTTTTATTTTAATAAGATTTTAAAGCATTTACACTTTACTTGGTTAAATAACCAAATAACCAAACTTAAACCACATATATTCTTTGTAACTTAGTATGAATATCTTCTGGTGCCAAATCCGAGTAATGACTAATTTAACGATTGAAAATACCTAAAAATTGACTTAAAATTAAACTGTCTTTATATTTGGGAACTTACACTAACAGGGAGAAAAAAATTTAATCGAGGAAAATTATTCTATCGTTATTCGAAGCTTAAGAAACGTAGGCAACAGAAAAAAAAAAACAGGAAAATTATTATTGAAAAGTTAATTTAAGTGAATATTTGTTTGTAAGTCGCGCAAATTCACTTGATATACGCATTTTTTTTTTAATTTTATAAAGTCGCAAGTTATACCTCTCAGACATGCAAAACATTCATATCAACAAAATGTCAAACAATTTCCTCGAGAAAAGAGACAGAAAAATTAACTATTCAGAACTGATAATATTTAGATTTATTTTGTTTTACAGTATATTAACTTCCATAGGTTATTTAATGCCGACACTTTTTTTAGGATAGGTTCATATGAATAGAATATGTATTCTATGTAAGTAATCAGTTTGTAGATCAAATTCCATTGACGTATTGTGGACTCGTCCATTTATCTTATCACCCTTAGCAACAGGAACATTCCATTTTACGCCGCCTACGTGAATCAACTTAACCAATCAAAAACCTTACTGTGCTAAGCAGCGATTTCTAATGGCTCGCAACGTGATAATTCAAAAACTTCACGTGAGGAAGTTAAATTGCGCCAAAACTTATTCGAGTCCATTCTGACATCTAAAACCTTATATAAGGAAGATTTCCAACTGATCAAGTCAGCCAGTCCAGCGAACAGGCATCGGAAGGAATTCTATGAGGGCGAGAAGTTCACTTCTTCCCAACTGACCTGGTTCTTTAAGCATCAGCTTAAAGTCAAGATTAGGACGGAAAGGCGGCGGCTCACCTCATCAGAATTTGGAAAAAGGTGGGTGAATCTTGCGCGTATGTGCCGAGTAAAAGGGGTTGACCTTGAGTGGCATTTTGATGCCGGTTAGGCATTAGGATATTGTTTTCCTGGGTTGAACATAGGCAACCCATCCCGAGATTAGGTTAGAGTAGGATTTTGTATTTATTCTTTTTAGTTTTCTTTCCTGTTTGCTCATTGGTCCTTTTTATTTCTGTCAAACTTTTTTTCCTTTAGTTTAGTTGGTGGATGCAGGGGCGTCTTTCGTTTCGCGTGTGTGTTTTTCGTTTTGTTGTTGTGTATGAATGAGTGTGTGCAGGAATTGGGTCCTTTATTTTCTAAGTCCCCATCGATTTCGTCCGTTCACTGATATTTTCCTTTTGTGGGTTTTTTTATTACTAACACTATTTTTTTGTTTGGTTTCTTGTAAATATTTTTGGATATACTCATTGGGGATCCTTTTTAAAATTGTTGTTTTATGTCTTTCGTTTTCATTGAGTTAAAGAGGTATTTTGTGGATTTTGGATAAATGTGTTGTTTTGGTGAAAGGAATATTGTTTTGTATGTTCGGGTCATGGTTGTGTGCCTGTTTTATATTAAGACAAATGATGACCGTCTTTTAATGAACCCCCTTTTGGCCTTGTCCTTTGTTGTTTTTTTACAATAAGTCCAGCGAACACCGGCTGATCGGTCGAACTTTCGAGAGAGGCTATGCCGAAGGGCGGATTCTCTTTCGGGAGGTAAACAATGATATTTTTTCTGAGCCCACCCATTTAAAAAGGCCTTGTGCCAAAATATCGTTTGAACACAGAGGTTTTTTGCGATTATAATTTTCCCGCGCGAAAAAAAAAAACACAAACTCGATTTTTGTTTGGTTTCTTGTAAATATTTTTTCTAAACAATACAAAAAAAAAAAAACAACATAATAACTGTGTTTAAAACACTAATATATGTAATACAAATCATTGTCCATTGCAAACAAAACAACACAATATCTTGTAATAATATTTTGTAATAATATTTTTTATTATATAAATGCATTTGTTTGAATTGCATACATGTCTTGCCTTTTTATATTATCATTATTGCATGCAAAAGATCCAACCTGACAAAATTCCTTCTGATATATTCTAACACCATAGGAAAAACTTAGTTCATTCTGCGCATCCCCAACAGTATTTTTGGGAAGAATGTTTTTATTTATTTATTTTTTATTTTTTTTTATCGAGATTCCAACGTATTGTCGGTATTTTTTTTTTTTTCAAAAACGTATTGCTGGTAATTTTTTTTTTTTCAAATTGTTGGTAATATTTTTTTACCAAAATAGATTTTTTACTATAAATATCTTTTTTCATACTTTCATAGTGTTTTGACAAAAAACCCCACCCACCCGGTTTGGTGGGTTAACTATTTGCCGATAGCTGGGACCCTAACAGGTGTTACTACACAGGCTCAGGGTAGACCTGGGAACAACAGTAATTAAGAAGTGGTTCCATGCTGCTCAAAACCTTCCAATCAGATGCCATGTAGTTTATCGTCATATCCAGGAGGCTTTCGTATTGATCATGTACAAAATTAATCATTAACTTCAAAAGAGAATAATTTAAAATATACTTGTACTTACGATAACGAACGGTACTAAAACCCCGGGACTGTCTATTTTTAGACTATCTGTAGCAGATATCACTTGGGAACAATTCCAAAAATAGCAAATGTCTGATTACGACTCTATTGTGCAGTACCATAAAAGGAATTTCTCCTTTTATCAGATTAAGCAAATAAATATAATATTAAATGTTTTACGCGCAAATATCGTATTTTACAGCATTCTAAATTGTTCACTTCACAATGGAGAATATATCTTGAAAGCTGAATGAACGGAACTCGAACTCAGATACTGTTACGCGGCAGGCGCAAAAATGGGGAGTATACTTATTGCTTTTCCAGGCATATCGAGAGCATTAACACAGGGAATAAAATGTTCCATCTTGCTCCTGACAATTGCCACTAATTCCAATAACTCAGGCATAGCGATATTTCTTTCTAAGTAGAACGGCTTTTGATCCATTTTATGTTGAAACACCGGTAATCCTGCGATCTCCGAAGTTAAGCAACGCTAAAACTGGTCGTTACTTAGACGGTGACCGTTGGGAATACCACGTGTTGTAAGCTTGGATGAGCGGGTGGTGTAGTAAATGACATCACGGGAGTTTTTAATCAGTAAGCATCTAACTTGAGCGGCTTTTGTCCGCTGAATTTGGTAAAGAAAAGTATAAAAAGATGAGGGCTCATTTTTTTTTTTTAAATATAGTTATTATTTTATCATTAGTTTTTATTCTTTAGGCCTAAATTATAAAAAAAAATACAACTGTCCATAAAGTTCGTGTGCACTTTAAAAAATTATAATTTTGTATTTGCGATAGAAATAACCTGTAAAAAATGTTATAAAGTTTAATGTACCTAGTTTTAAGTATAGCTAAAATAACGAATGTGATTTCAGGCATTACTGTAAATCAGTTGGCAAATGTTTTCAGTGAACTGCAAAATCATATTTGTATTGCTAATGATGGAGGACATGGGGAAACTTAAATAAAATTTTAATAAAACATTAAAAAAATATAGATTTATTTTTTTCTAATCCTTTTTACAAATTATTTCTATCGCAAATACAAATAAAGTTATAAACTTATTAAAGTGCACACGAACTTTAGGGACACCATGTATATATATATATATATATATATATATATAGGTAAAAAATATATAATCGTTAATAAATAACAATCCTGTATAAGTATTTTAATTGTTTTTTACTCGATTCTTTTTACAGTAGGGTCCCGAATTTCATATAATTTACGGCCTCAACATGTGAAAGGCCAAATCTGTCCATCCCCTTTACACAAGATTCTTACGTTACGCATTGTTTCCCATTATATCTTGCCTTCAGTAGGCCCTTCTCACAAATTACATAACATTCTCCTGTGTAATATGGAAAATTGAAGCAAAGGACTTTACTCCTATGGCTAGACACCTGGAGAGCAACACGCGGCACCATCTTGGCTTCAGGTTTTCAACTGATTTGAAGTAGAAAACTGATCAAATAAAACTGCTGCATTTACTGCAAGGAATGTTGGGTTACTGTGTTGTGCCAGAAAAATTTCTGGTCAAAGTACATCTTGCACATTTACAAATCTATATTAGATTAAATAATGAGCATTAAATACTGTTGCCGTATCTGCTCTAGCGTTCCAGATTATTCATCGCAGAGTACTGGACAAAATTCAGAGTCTGAAATGTAATCAATCCTGTCTTGACATCTCGACTTCAGTCATTTTCTCACCGACGTGACGAGTTTTTTCTGTCTTTTCTACAAATATTTTCAGGATAACTGCTCTTACGAGCTTTTTTTTCCCCGGTACCCCGACTACATGAATTTAAGTGTACTACTAGATTGGCATATCGGTCCCACTCATTTACTGTTGAAATAGCTAAATACAACAATAACTTCTACTCCAACAGTTTCTTTTCTTTTACTTCCCGCCTCTGGAACTCCCTTACATTTCCGTGCTTCCCTGATAAAAATAAGCTTCAAAAATTTAAATGCAACGTCAGTCGCCATCTTCTATCTTCTTGAATCCCGTTCATCCTTTGTCCATTTCCCAATTCTTCCCCTGTTCAGCCGTTTCTCACACTTTCACTACCTGCAATCCACTGTATACTAGTGGCACTATTACGTTACCTGGGGTGAAATGATTAAAAAAACATCCGTGATTTTAGGAGTTTTCCTCGTTTCTTTATTATTTTGTTATTCAAAATAGGTTATGATCGACTGTATTTATATTAGAATACTGGAGTGGCGATAAGAATTGTCGCTGATTAAATCTTAAACGTACAATCGTTAGGTCCCACTGCATAGCATCACATTTAATTCTCCATATAAAAACAGGACTGTAAAGAAACAAACACACATAAGTAAAAATTATAAAGATTGGACATTTGTTGGCATTCTTTAGACACTGCAGAATTTTTGAA